CAATTCCTCTTGCAGAGCTGTCGGTGATCATCACAGTAAAAAGAAGCAGAGTGTATGAGGCCGCGCAGACCATGTTCGAAGGAAAAACACCCTGGCCTACCTGTCGCTCTGGCTCCGGCCGAGACCCTTAGTAGCAGTAGTAGTAGTAGTAGTAGTAGTAGTAGTAGTTGTAGTAGTAGTCGTCGTCGTCGTCGCGGTATCAGTAGTAGCAGAAGTAGTAGCAGACATGTCAGAAGCAGCGATAATACCGGTGGTTGCAGTAGCAGTAGTAGTCGTCGTCCTGGTCGTCGTAGCAATAGCAGTAGTCCTTGGCCTTGTGCTTGTCCTTGTGGCTGCGCTTGCGGTTGTTTTGCTTTGTTGTTACTGCTGCTGTTGTGGTTGCTGTTGTTGTTGCTGCTACTGCTGCTGCCGCTGCTGCTGCCGATGTTGCGAACACTGCATGGGCTTTAAGAGGACTGAAAAACTGCCCCACAGCAGGAAGCCTGCGTGCGCTTTGTCGACAGCTGCAGCTTCAAGATCGAGGAATGCGCTGCCCCGGACCCCCTGGTGGATTTGGAGTGCCGGCAGACGGTAATGTCGCGGCTTAAAAACTAATCTTGAATCTTGACTAATCAGAATCTCATTTATTTCATGTCACGGCAGTACCACTGAGGTTTGCTAAGGGATTGAATCTTACAGGTGTGCACCGTTCAGCCGCGGTGCATTCAGTTCCTCGGACGAGCCCTCCAATTCTTGGTTAAGGTCACCGACTGCGTGGCTCGGCTGCCGCAGGCTTACTGCTCCAAGCAGGAGGCCAAACCTCGGCTGCAGCGAGGAAACCTCATCGACCGATCGACATCCGAAACTTACAGCTCTCAGAGACACCCTAAGCCCCATAAATCCCCAATGTAGAAGCCCTGCAATCTACTATGTGATAGCCGACCAAAATGTACCAAGAGCTGTCCAGCGACATGACCGTCAACATGGATAGATTTGACAGACCCATGGCTGTGTGTCTACGTCAGCAAGGACGGAACCACAGCTATACTTTGTTGAGCCAAAACTGCGCATTTCAACTTCGGCACTTGCGGGGCACCTTGTCCCTGGTCTATGGAGAAATGAGGCCGGAAAACCTTCATGCACCCCGAATCGACGCGAACCTGGCCAGAAGGCAAGGAAAGAACAGCTGCAGCCATACATAATACAATATGGTATAATGTAAGATAAGATAACGTAAGATAGGATAAGAAAAGATAAGGTAAGATAGAGTAAGAAAATAAGAGAATGTAATATAATGTACGGAAGAACGGATAAGGTAGGATATTATAATATAATATGATATAGTATGATATGTGATGTGTATATATATATACGCGATATACATATATATATATAGCTATGTATGTATATGTATATATACAAGTATATATGTATATCATATAATATAGAACATGTTATATAAAATATACACGAATATAGCTGATCCACCCTAATCTCCTCTCAGCGCGTCGGGGGCGCCGCAAGCCAGCGGTCTGAATAACGACGGCTAACCGGGGCGGCTTCTAGGGCAAAGAGATCTTGAACAGCGATTAGAGTTTAGGGTTTAGGGTTCAGGGCTTAGGTTTTAGAGTTTAAGGTTTAGGGTTTACGGTTTAAGATTTAGGGTTTACGGTTTAAGGCTTAGGGTTTAGGGTTTAGGATTTAGGGTTCTTGAACAGCGATTCCGAAATTGCGAGCTCGAAGTCTCCAGTTCTGGTTTTGAGTTTAGGGTTTAGGGGTTTAGGGTTTAGGGTTTAGGGTTTAGGGTTTAGGGTTTTGAGTTCACAGTTGCAGCCAGAGGAAATTTTCATTACTCCTAATATAGAGGCCTAAATAATTAGAACAGGGTTTGGGGGCCCATTATACTATAATTAGAATAAGGAACCCCCAAAATAATATAGGTAATTCTTTAGGCCCCTATATTACTGCTCTAGAACATCTACCCAAGCGTAGCGCGGGATTTATCCCAGGACCCAGCTGCAGCTTGCATGGGATGCATGAGAGCCGAGCGTTTCCACGAACTCAGAACTTGAACACCGAGCTGCCAGGATGGGGAAGGCAGGCTGTGATGGAGGGCGCGCTGCGGTTGTGGCTTGTGGACAAAGAATGCAATCATACGGTGGATGATGCAAAACCTGCATGAGCAGGCCGCCCCCATACAAACCCTGAATTTAACATTGTCGAAGGTGCACGTGCGCCAACCCTGACTTCGCGAAGGATCTGAATCCTGCATGACCTCTCCTTTGACTGTTATATTCTGTTCCATTATATTATATTCTATCGTATTCGTATTCGCATTATGATATATTAGAGATTCAGGGTTTCGTGGGCGCACCTCTTTGGACGGGACCTGTTGGTTCGACACGAAGAAGTTTCACGATTTATGTCATCAACAGTACCAATAATGATGCCATCCATAATCATAATGTCATAATGAAAATACCAACAACCGTAATGATGATAATCAAAAAGGTAACAATAGCAAGTAAAGTGACAAGCCTCGACATTAAGCGCAGATCCCGGAAAAAAACTCAGGTCATCTTTTCAGAAAACCTGTGAGGTTCTGACTGCGCAATCCACAACCACACCCCAGATCTTCTCAGGCAAAACCATACCACTCGGAACAGGGGCCAAAAGAATCAGTGTGTTGAGAGATCTTAAGGTTGCAGCTTGAGTAAAGCAGGTTTACTGGAGTGACTCTGTAGCGCAATATATCCTCTGACCCGGTGAACCTCAGCTGGCTTTCAGCATTCCGCCATGGCGCCCATGCAGAACACCATGAGTGGGAGGCTGGAGGAATTAAGATGTAGGGTGGGTGGGCGAGGTGAGGAACCTCATGTCATGGCCCGGACTGTTGCGTCGGCTGTTGCAATCTCAGCGATATCGGATTGCCAGTCTCAGGTGAGTCGGGGTGCACCTCAACAATCCTCCTCTATGGAAAGTTCGCACATGGCTCGTGGAAGCTCACAAGCACTGTCTGAAGGGCATTCCTGTGGACGTCCTTCGGTAGCACCACTGACAGCGACGAACCTGCTGGTTGCGTGATGGCTGCGGTGTGTACAAGAACTCACCTTCCGTGCGGGAAAAAACATCGAATTCAGGTGTTTAGCTGCATCTTGATTCGCCAACAACAGTAGACAGGAGTAACTACGAGGAATGAAAGCCGTCAGAAGTTGTGAACCCTTGTGAGTAGCAAGCACAAGCAAGGCAAGAAGCGCTTCAGACAAAAACCCATGTGTGTAAAATTCGTCGATTCAGCCATATGTACGGAACAACGACATACTAGACTGTGGCACATACGACGGCCTGTTTCTGAGTATGTAGAACTCTGCATTCGTGTATCTATGTATATGGGTGGTTGTCAAAATTAGGGTCCCTTTTTGGGTACCCTAAATATTAAGTGCCGTATTATATTACGGACCCAGAAAGGGACCATAATTTTGACAACCGCCCATGTATGCATGCACATTTAGCTGCACATACCTACAGCAAATACATAGACAGAGACATGTAGATTTACATCTACATGTGCACACACTCATACACACATATACCTATCGTATATGTCTATCCATATACATCTGCATCTACATCTACACCCATTCAGCCATGTAAAGAATCTGCGTGTATAGGTAGAGAGTAGGCTTATTTATGGCTTCTAAGTAGCTTCCAGGGGTTAACTGTTGGGGTCGAAGGACTCTCCAACTTTGTGGACTTTAGCTCTGTTTAGGGTTTAGGGTTCTTTTAAAACACACTTTGTACACTTCTCGGTTTGGGGATTTGGGCTTAGGCTTTTGGACTGGTCCCTGGTTGAGAACCACAGGGGCACACTAGATGACTGCCTGTCAATATGCTCAGGACGCCATGTGTGAAGACAGTGCGAGCACAAGCACTGTGGCGAAGCCGCAGAATCCTCGAATTGCTTTCGGCTAGCGATGCAGGAAATTCAGTAGGCATGCAGTCGCATCCTCTTGAAACAAGGTGGCTCCAAGCTCTGCAACCCAGTCTGTAACCCTATAAGAAGCGATTCCGGCTTCAATTGACGGTACGGCCTTTAGTAGCTTCAACGGCTTCTGTGACGGGCAGACAAAACGATCACAACCTTGTAGATACTATTGGGGCCTTAATAATTACAATAGGGTTTTGGGGCCCATTATGCTATAATCATAATAAGGAACCCCCAACATAGCATAGGTAGTTCTACCGGCCCCTATATTCGATAGCACATGCAACTTTAGCACTTCAGATGTTCGCAGCTTGAAACGTTCGTTTTGGCAAGCCTCGCACAAGCATCGGTGCGGGAATGTCCCAGAACATCCTTGCTGCGAGTTCTTCGCCAATCACGAAGACGCATACAAGAATACAAGACAGTTTCACACACAACTGTCTGATCGACACGAGTTTCCCTCGCCCAGCCCACTGGCCCAGCAAGTGTCTGACCTGCTACACCAGTAACAGTTAGTCCCCGCACTCAGCTGTCGAAGATGGCCTCCGCCTTTTCCACCTGTTCCTGGAAGTCTTCCGTGTCCACCAGGGCATCCATCACGGCCTCCAGTCACTCCGGAAAGTGCCCCTAAACTGGTTTGAACTTGGGGATAAGAGCCTCCAGTGCTGCATGGAGAACAAATACGAAGGACGGCCTTTAGGCGCAGGGCGATTTCTTTCTGTTGTAGAAACACGATAGCGCCTGTCTGGTTCTAGTGCCGATCCGCAACACCTGCTGCCGTCCCTGAACACAATGAGGAAGACGTGTTTTTTATGCATGTTAGAACCACTATATAGAGCGCTAAATAATACACTTTATAGGCTCTGCCGTACCCTTCAAAGCAAGACATGACACGTGCACATTTCACCCTCAAGCTTCAAGCTCTGACGTGCGCATTTCACCCTCAAGCTTCAAGCTCTGAGACCAAGCCACCACCCTCAAACCCGTCACCAAACCCTGTTGCAACAGGGCATTAAAGTAAGCAAGCTGCCACGAAAGGCTTCAAAAGAGAATAGCAGACAACAAAAACCCGAGGCCAACTGCGAAAAATGGATTGGCAGGCACAGCAAGCAACACGAGTAAACCCCAAGCCCGAAGCCCCCAAAACCCTAAACCCTAAACCCTAAACCCCCGAAACCCTGAACCCTAAACCCACCAAACCCTAAACCCCTCAGAGGCTCCTCAGGACCGGCCATGATCCCGGCCATGATTTCACCCGCAGCCGCGTTCACGATCTCCTGCGGGTTTGGGGTGGTTTGGGTTTAGGGTTTAGGGGGTAGGGGATAGGGTTTAGGGTTTAGGGTTTTGGGAGTAGTGTTTGGTTCAGGGCTTTAGTTGGGGTTTACGGTTTGGGGTCTGTTGTATGGTTATACAGCAAGTTTAGGCTGTCGAGTTTGGGGTCTTAAGCGCAGGATCTGGGGCTGAGGGGTTCTTTTCATCAGGGGTGGAGGGAGTGCAGCAGCGTTGTCGGAGGGAGGGAGTGTAATCGATCCAGTTTTGATGTCAGTTTACAACCGTTTTCAGAGGCAGGGTTCGAGGGTGTAACGTCAGGAAGCTTCGAAGGTTCTCAAAGTGACAGGGCAACACTCACAAGACTGTCCTGGCATGGATCTCAGAAAGGGTAAGGATAGATTCATAAAAGGGTGTCTGTTTGGAGGGATCAATGCATGCATTGGCGCAAGCAGATGTGTGTGTGTGTGTGTGCGCGCGCATGAGTGCTGTATGCGTCGGTGTACATATTCACACATGTCCGTACATGCATACGTGCATGTATGTCATGTATGTATGTGTCTATGTATGTACAAATGTACGCACGTGCATATGTATACATCTGTGTATGTATGTCCGTATGCCTTTATAACTGTATGCCTATGCATGAATGCATGTAGATATGTATGTATGTACATATGTGTACCTGCCCGTATGTCTCTATGTCTGTCTGCCTGCCTGCCTGCCTGCCTGCCTGCCTGCCTGCCTGCCTGCCTGCCTGTCTGTCTGTCTGTCTGTCTGTCTGTCTGCGCATGTATGTATGTATGTATGTATGTATGTATGTATGTATGTATGTACGTTTTCATGTGAGTCTATGTCAACTTATGCATGCATGTATGCATCCGACTGTGTGAGTACGTATACACCTTGCATGCAGGTATGTATGTACATATGTAGCTATGAAGGCATGTACTTATGCACGTATGTGCGTATGTACGTATGTACAAATGTACGCGGGCATGGATGTCTGTATGTATGCTCATATGTGCTGACATATATATATATATATATATATGATCCCGGTTCGGCCGGCCCCCCCCACCGCCCCCCCCCCC